TCAAGATCCAAGGCTATAGTACAAAATATTTGATTTGTTTTTTCATTCTAATTGTAATATTTGTACAAAATTTTGTTAGAATAATCCTTTTGGTGTATTCTGCATAATGATAATTTAATCTTAATAAAAAAAGATTAAAGTGAGAGATTATGACCGATTCTAGTGAGAAACTCCATTAATGAATGATTGTTTCAATCATTTATTATAGTTGTAATTCTTTTTTCTCTTTCAACCAAGCCTTGTCTTGGCTTAATATGTTGTTTACCACGAAATATGCATTCAATCTGGGCCTCAATATTTTGTTGCTCTTTTTGAAGCTCTTGTATAAATGTATATGTTCCTACATGCTTATTACCAACTAGTGTTGCCCAACGGTGGTGCCAGGCTTCAACTACATTCTGAGTTCTTGGAATACCAATATTTACAGAATCGTATACCAACCACAATTGGGGTGGAAAAAGAGGAGCAGTACGAATGATATGGTCACTTTCTATATCTGAACAAGCTTTACCAAGCACATATATTTCTTCAAACCAACAAACAAGTTTCTCTGCTTCTGAAGGCATATGCGGCTTTAAATATTCATAAGCTTCTCGGATTTCATGGACTGGCAAAAAAGCCAATGCAAATAGGCGCCATATTGCAATACTAAAGTTTTTACTATGCCCATATTGAACTATATACATATGTATATATACATATGTACAATAATAGATAACAATAAAAAAAAAATTTTTAGTAAATTAAAATGATGATCATATGCATAAATTTTAACTTAAATTAAGAATAGATAATTTACTTGCTAATCCGTATTTTTGTACTCTTCGCCAACCATTTTGACTTAAATGAAAAAAGCAAAATTTATTAATCATATCAGGAAACATATAACGTGACATATTAATAGCTGCGGACTCAAAATTCATAATAATTCTTGTTGGAGTTAACTCTAATTCATTTTCTTCTGCAAAATTATTTAATATTTCAAATAGCAATTTATATTGCTCTGCAGACTTGTTTGTCATTAAGTAATAAACAAGAGAAAGTATTCAAGAATTATCTGCAAAGCCGACGGGAGCATGAATAGTATACATTTGATAAAAAATTGTAGAAACAGTCTGAAATGTCCTGTTCATGATCCAATATAATGCACGATATAAGTATTTAATATTTCAGTTGTTGTAAAAACAAGTATTCGTCCATCATTACTTGTTTAATCTTTAATTAAAAACAAAATTGCCATTTAAAGTAGATTTAAGTGATTCTGGCATATTTAATTCGGTAATATGTTGTGGTTGAGGTAATGAATCTACTTGACGAACACAATTAATCGTTCTATGCAAGGTATTTAATGAAGGAATATATGGACAAAACTCTTCAGGTGTATTAATAATGTTGTCCTAAACTATTATTATAGGCTTATCTCTCATTTCTTTAGCTTGCTTTTTAATTTGGTTTGTAATCTTTGCAACTTCAATTTTATGCAATTCTGGCACATGTTCATGTCGAGAAAGTTTTTGAAGATAATATTTATTATCACGTAATTGTGTAATTACTTGACCTGTACACCTATCAGATTTTCTTCTATCACAACACCAGTAATAAGTATTTTTATATTTCTTTTCTTTAGTCATGAAAAAACCACAAACATTAATTTTGTTACCCCTTTTTTTGATAGTATAACTTCGCAAATTTCATCAACTTCACAAATTTCATATATTTCATCCATTACAGAAAAGGTTTTATGATCAAAAAATATGCAGTTATTATTAGAAAAAGTAATTTTACGATCAAGAAAATAAGACTTATAATTAAGAAAACTATGATTATTTATTATTTTTTATAAACTAATAAATCATTACATTATGGTTAAATTAATTCTATTACTCAAATTATTACTAGCTAATCTAATTAACTCTACAGTTTCATCATTTGATTAAGTTACTATGTATACATATAAGAAAAAAATATTAGATCATATTAAATTAAATAAAAGACGTCAAAATTACATTATATTATATTTCTGTGTTAATTTATATTACACATTATTTAGTCAAGTAAGTACAAAGATTTGATAATTTAGCAAATTCAAAATAAGTTATTCAAGATTAAATATTTACCATTACTGTCACGAAGTTTTAAGAACTGCTATAACATAAGACTTGGGTAGACGAAAGTTCTACTCATATTGAATTTTGTTGAAGTCATACTATACAGAAGACAAGACCGTGTTTGCTGAGACTTGTGAATTAAAGTGCCTTAGTGGCAACTGAGTTGAAAGTCAACAATCAAATATATTATGAAGTGAATATATATTTTTAAGGAATAGAAGGAAATTGTTAGTAAAAGGTTTAGTGAATAAATAAAATATTGAGAAGGGACAAGTAAAACAAAAGACAATGGAAGATGTGGAATGGAAGTAATAGAATTCTATTGATAATAAAATGTGTATGAATAAATCATATACTTTCAACCTGATACTTAAACACGTGAGAGAAAAAAAACAAGAAAGTAATATTTAATAGAGAATTCTATCGATGATAAAATGCATACATATTACAAATAAACTATATACTTACTTTCTAGTAATTTAAAGTGAAAGAACAAAAAGTAATATTTAATAAAAAATTCTATTGACGATAAAATGTGTAATACTTACGACCTGATACTTAAACACGTAAGAGAGAAAAAACAAGAAAGTAATATTTAATAGATCAATGATAAAAACACATACATTGTATTCATTATTTTATGAATAAACTATATACTTACTTTCTAGTAATTTAAAGTGAAATAACAAAAGGTAATATTTAATAGAGA